AAAAAGATTAATTTTTAACGAGTGACCTTTGTTAAAACTTTCACAGAGGCACAATGGAGAGCAGCGTTTGGGAAGAGAAAACATATAATCCACGCTTGACGAAGACAAGGGAGCAATTTATTGATATCATGAACAATTTGAATTTGCCTTATCCTAAGAAGATTGGTAATTTGATTTGAGTTTTTTTGTGTTTATTTGGAAATTAAAATTTTTCTTTACTATTACAGATGTTTCGCTACCGGCTAATCGCGAATGTGGTGTCCATGATATTCCAGATAAATAATGTTGATTGGCTTTTGTTTTGCGAAAAAAAAATTCAAAATAAAGTGCTGCTCAAATGTGGTTTCAAATGGCATAGAAAGCACCCAAACTACCGAGTCATGGAGGGCTAAAGTATTTTGAAGGCTACTGCTGTTAGCTGTACAGCAAATTCTTTTTAAACGTTTCCTAAATATATAGAATTAATCAAAAGACATTGTAAAAAAAAGAGTTTTATAATAAAAAGTGAAATAAAATATTTCCACAAATGCTATCGCTAATTTAGTTGGTCACGTCTATGTGCACTCGTCTATATTTATGTATAATTATAAGAGGGCCTCACAATGTATCATAATTAATCGATTGGTGAAAACAATATTTAAATATACTTGTACTTTAGAATTAATTTTGTTTCCCATATCTTTCGTTTTATGCCCACATTGTATGATTTTATCTTCCGAAAATGTTTAATTAATTTTTGATTATAAATAGTTTGGGTTATGTTAGGTTTAGGTGGTTGCACAACGATGCCCTTGGGCTATAAGTTTAAGTCCTTGCGACACCAATACGAATCGTAACTCCTAAGCTATAAAGAAAAAGGCAAATTTCAGCACCGAATAGCTTAATTGGAGAGTGTAAGCCAAGCTATTTATACTTCAGTCTCTCAAAATGTGAGGTGCTGAGGTTATATTTAGCCTCGCCGCGTAAACACCTATCGGTCATTTGTCTTAGCCTGTGGTGTCTACATCCATTTGAATTGAGAGTTGCAGATGTTTGAGCCCAACTAGACTCCTTGACTGGCTCCCCTTCTTCGCTGACACGTCCGTCCATCCTTCCAAGAGTAGTCCATTTGCATTCAAAGCTTCTCCCATTCCCTCTTTTCTCGGTGAAACCCATTGGAAGGTGATTTTCTTTATCAACTCATCCTCAAAGCAGTTCACTCCAAGATCACCACTTCCGGTTACCTATATAAGTTTGACCAGGAAAAAATCAAAGGCACCTGAAACAGAGCTTAAGCATTCCCTTACTAGCTTAGAGGGCACACAGCACAACGGCCACACTCACATCAACTGCTTCCTTAATTCTATCTACGACACTGCTCCCTTCAAAAGACCTCGTTCAAGCTTCACCGCATACGTGTGGAAGTTCGCATGGAGGAAATATGTATAAAAAAGAACTCATTGATGATAGTCTGTCTGTGAGGTGATCGTTGTCATAAAATCGAAGACTCCAAGAATACTAAATGGTCCAAATCCTCAGTCACTTAGGCACGCAGTGGCCCAAAATCTGACCGCTGCCCTTCATTTCAATTTTCAGGGTGGAAGTGGTCCCAAAAGCCCCACTGTTCCTAATAAGGGCGGCCAGTTGTACCCGCTCCAGCTTTCTGACTGGCGTGTATTCCACCAGACGTGAACTCCATGAAGCTATGGGCTTAACTATGATTTCATAGAGACAGGAAATAAGTAGCCCTATATCTTACAAATTCTCCATCTGAAGCAGTAGAGAGCAATAATTTACTCCCTCCTCAACTGAGGAGTTTTACTAGTTTTAGTCCGCTGAATACGGGACTAGACCTATTACCAAACCAAAGTCATAAAAACCCTTTTTAAAAATAGCGCTTTTTCCGAAAAATTGTTTAGTTATATAAATTACATAATCTGCTATTCTTATCTAAATTCATTACCTTACATTTTACCCTTACAGACCATTCTGAACCCACGTTCCAACAGATGCAACGCACACAAAGATAATAAAAATGTCGAAACGAAAATTTCCGAAACCAAAACAAATCTTATTAACAACGCACAGACACAATGCGCAACGACTGGACGTCGACGAAAACTCTCCTCGTTGGGTGGTACGCTCTCCGCGCGATCCTGTCGCAGTGAAACGAAGGAACTGCGCTCGGCGCTGCAAGATCGCGAAGCGGTCATACAAAATCTACGCATACAGTTGTGCTTAGGCAAATTGCCACGCCCAACAGGACCACCACTGGACGAGAGCGAGAAACCCGCGGCAGAACAAAAGCTGCAGAGACTAAAAGCCGAAGCGGAGAACAAGAGAATTAAAATCAAGAACTTGAAAACTGCGCTGGAGAAACTAGATATAACAGAGTGAGTTAAGAGCACGGATGAGCTTACCAACTGTTTTCTTTCTAACTCCATATTTACAGTAATATTGATACACGCATACGCCAGGCGGAACTGGAGTATGCGCTTGGCCGCGAGGAACTTCAAATGTTATCGATTGTCGAGGAAGCGCGCGCATTGCAAGCTCGTTTGGAGAAGTCAAAACCTGAAGTGCAGACCATTTACAAGTAAGAACTTATTTCTTAATCGTATATGCCAATTATTTAATACCGCTCCCTTCTGCTAACTCGCAGCATACTCAACTCTGGCGCCACACTAAGCCTACACGCGGTCCATGCGACCACCGGCCGCTGGTCTGCACACACCAAATCCGACCAGCCCGGCTTCTTTGTGGAATGGGCGCTCGAAGGTGACGGCCTGTACAAAGGTGATCGCATACTCGAAATCAATGGAAATCTTATCGCCTGTCGCACCAAGGAGGAACTGCATAAAGCGATAGGCAATTCAGGTAAATGCCAAATGGTGGTTGTGCGCAATAAGTGTGCGCCGATACCGCAAAAGCAAATAGATCAGGAGAAAGAGAAGGAGAACAATATGCGGTTGCAGCATCGTATTTCCTATCTCGAGGAGCAAGTACGCGAGCTGCAAACTGCTAAGGAACTGGAGATGTTGCAACAGGTACTAACCCAGCAGTCAAAGGCGCTGGCGCAGATTCCACTACTGCAACCTTCAGCAGCGCACATAAATAACGGTACCAATAGTCATGTGACCAGCATCAGCATCTCATCGCCACCGTCCACGCCGCCCGACAACAAGCCATTGGTTTTCCAACGCGGCAACTATATAACCACTTTGGTTGGCGGCAAGCCAATTGAACTGGTTGGTGAGAATTGCGAACAAAATGGCTTGAGCAAAAGCAACACGGTGGCGCACGTTACCAAAACGCTGATCAAGGAGAATACACAAATTGATATGCATCATGAGCGCGCGCAACGCGCCTGCATAGCGACGACTACCTCATACCCGTGCCTGCCACCCAAGTCGCTGTCCGCTTCGAAGATCTCCATCAACAGTGACTCCGCGTACATGCAACAAACGCACTATCGACGCAGCGAGAAGGAGCGGCATACACGCGATCGTGAGCGCGAACGCTATGATCGAACGGCGAGCAAGGCTAGCGCGCTGCAACACCGCGCCAATATGCAAGCGCGCAGCGTGGAACACTTGAATCACTACAATGGGTAAGTTGAGCGCTTTATTATTTTGCCCGCCTGAGTAGGGTCTAACTAATGTTGCCTTTTATTTGCGCAGCATTGAACGCCGACGCGACTGCTCTGCCACGCCGGATAGGCATGCGCATGTGCCCACCGATATGCGCAGCGTCAAGTCGCTAGATTTTGATAGCGAGCACGAAACCAAACCCATCAGCGACACAGTATCAGAGGTGCGCGCTGTCCGTCCGACGCCACCAAAGAAGCCGCTGCGTTTATCACTGCAACGCGCCCAGAGCCTACAGACTGTCGAGCTGACGCCAAGCTCTGATTCGGAACGTAAGCGCCCGATGAAGCGAGCGCATATCAACGATAAGGCGCCCGGCGAACGAGAGGGCGCGATACTCATCGAGAATTGCGCACCACCAACGCAAACGGCATCGCTGGGCAGACCGCGGACGAATATATGAAGGTTGCTGAATGTTCTCTTTAAGCGCAATGAAGAGACACATTACTAGTGAAGGTGAAGGTGAAGTTGGTGAGGAAGTGGCTTAGGAGATGGAGTTATTTTATAGGCAAAGAAGTTTTAAATGTGNAGGTTGCTGAATGTTCTCTTTAAGCGCAATGAAGAGACACATTACTAGTGAAGGTGAAGGCGAAGTTGGTTAGGAAGTGGCTTAGGAGATGGAGTTATTTTATAGGCAAAGTAGTGTTAAATATATCAAACATGTTTCGGGGGCGGATGAGTGCAAGATTTGTTCTACATAGTTTTAAGAAGTAAATTCTTTACCAAATATTGAAAAATATTTCAACATTTAGTATTAAGCGTATATGTAAGTGTGCATGGTATATGGAACGGTGGGCAAGCTGGTCTAAATGCAAAAGTTAAATTTATTTAAGTTTATAGTAGTAACACTGCATACTTGCTATCATTATTAAGTTCAAATAATAATACAATAAAACTGTACAAACAATTTTTTAGCACAATTTTGTAATACAAATTAATTTGCATGAATGTAAATACACAATCAAATCATAACGAAACTGCAAGTGTGATGTTTTCTTTTTTTTTTTGTAAACTGGAAAAAACGCAGCACAGTCCACCTACGCGCCCTTCTTCTTTATTCTTCGTTAAACTTGAACGAGATTTCGTAAGCTATGCGCAATTTAATACGAGCTGCGTAGTTCAATGAGCAATTTACAGCCAATTCGCACGTCTTACACATTTTACACATAATGCACGGGCGGGCTGATTCGTGACTCTTCATTTACAATTGCTGATTTGCATGTAAGTATCTATATACATACTACTTAGTGTAATTATATACACGTGGGTACATACTTATGTACATTAGGGCGGTACTTAAATGTAGGAAGCAAATTTTTACATCAGATTTCCTAAGCCTCAGCCCTTACGTCAATGCTATTATAGTCGAAGATATCACATCTAAATTTTGGTCCTGATTGGAGACGGTTAAGGCCTGTCGCACAGCGAGCGAAGTTCAGTTTCCTCTATGGAGACTCAAAAAATTTAAATTAACCCTTTTTTTCATCTAATACCCAAAATCGATACTACTATAGTCGAAGATATCTCATATATATTTTGGTCGCGATTGAAGTCGGTAAAGGCGTGTCGCACAGGGGTCAAAGTTCAGTTTACCCTATGAAGACGTCTTAACCGACATGATAACCGATATGTGATATACTCGCCTTTGGTAGTATCGATTTGGGTATTAAATGAAAAAAAAAGTTAATATAAATTTTTCAAGTCTCCATAGAGGAATCTGAACTTTGCCCCTGTATTGATTTTGGTTATAGGTTAAAAAATATGAATTTTAATTTTTTGAGTCTCTTTAGAGGAATCTGTATTTTGCCTCCTGTGCGAGACGGCTTAACCGTCTTAAGCGCTCACGGTTGCGTTCATTTCATTTTTAAGGACCACCCTAATGAACATACATACATTTATGTGTGTTCTAGGCATGATAAAACATGTAACTT